GAATTGACCCTTCATCTTGTGAGGTCTCAGCATTGTTGTTATTTGATTCAACCATATTCTGGCACTGTTGTTCACCACTGTCCCCAACATTATTGCTATCTGGTTGAACCGTATTCTGGCACTGTTGTTCACTACTGTCCTCAGTAATTGCATCACCTTGATGGTTTGTAGGCATAATGTCACGACTCAACTTCCTTACATCAGCTACAATCGGAATGTCTTGCAAGAAAACACCCTGTGAACCACGCAATGAGCAGGCTGCATTTTTTTTCTGCAAATGGAAAAATAGACTTGTTAAATACCACATGCCTAGAGATGTAGACTCTACCATTGTTTTCCAAGCACTGGTAGCCCTTGTGTTGAGGGCTAATGCCAAGAAAATACAGGATTGTGATCGAAAACATAGTTTATTTTTTTGGAAGGGTCTGAGATGCGGAAAACACTGGCATCCAAAGACCTTGAGGGAAGCATAATCCGGTTTTCTTTGAGTCAACTTCTCGTACGGTGTTATCCCTCTAAGCACGGCTGTTGGAAGACGATTTATTAAGTGAACAACAGTTACAAAGGCATATGACCAGTATTACATAGGCAACGTAGCTTGGGCCAGCAGTACAAGACCTAACTCAACGACATGGCGATGCTTGCGTTCGACCACCCCGTTCTGCTCAGACGTATGAGGGCAGGTCAATCGGTGCACTATCCCGGATTTAGCAAGTAAGGCAGAAAACACCCGATATTCTCCACCCCAATCTGACTGCAAGGATTTAATTGATACACCTAATTGATTTGCAACTAACTTGTGAAATCCCTTGAATGCCTCAACTGTTTGAGCTTTATCTTTGAGTAGATAAAGCCAAGTAAAACGAGTAAAGACGTCTATAAACGTCACATAATATCGATAACCATTTGAAGCAACATGGGGAGGTCCCCAAAGATCAGAGAAAATTAGCTCAAATAGTGCACTGTATTGGGTACTCGATGAAGAAAACGGTTGCTTGTGACTTTTACCCATAAAGTAAGCCACACAAGTTTTATTAATATCAAGGTCAAGTCTTACATCAAGTTCTTTTGCAACTCTACTAAACGCAAAATTAGCTGGATGCCCCAACCGTTGATGCCACAGCTCAGATTGAGAGGCAGACGCAAGGTTAGCTTCAACAGTCTTCTTTTCTGCACCAAACCCGCTTAGCGAAAACACATATAAACAACCTTTCTCTACGCCTTGAAGTAAGATCACCTTGGAATGTTCATCACGAACAAGACATCTTTCAGTATGGAATTCAAGATAAACCTTGTTGTCCCTAGCAAGCTTGGATAAAGAAAGAAAATTTTTGGTTATATAAGGTACATGTAACAACTCATTCAAGATCAAGGTTCTTGACGAGTCAGTAGTAAGAAGAAGTTGAGCAGTGCCAATATTATGAATATCAATAGAGACCCCATTGCCAATAGTGAGTTTACATGGACCTCAAAATTCAGTAGTGTTTGAAACATTTGTTGCATCTGGGGTGATATGATGCGTGGCTCCAGAGTCGACCATTCAGTGGTTACTGGATCTGGAAGCAGTGCTGGCTTGCATACTACCTATTTCTTGTGAGTGGCCCTTGCAACATTCACAGTCGAGGCTCGAAGTATCAGCAGCCAAGTAATGAGCGTTGATAGACTGACCTTTATGAGTATTATGAGTTTAAGAGTCAAACGTCACACACATAAATTCCTAGTCAAAGCGGTGCCAGCAGCGATCGACCAGGTGACCAACTTTGTCACAAAGCTGGCATTAAACTTTGACTCGGTTTCGACCTCGACCACCAGTTCTGTTGACAGTCGATGAGCGTATGTTTTTAGAGTCTCGACGCCCATTAAAACATGAGTCATGAACTTCCTCTCTTTCAGCTATGTTGGCAGCCATAGGTACATGGTCTAATTGCTCATCAAACCCGGCCAGCTGTGCTTCAGCATCTAATAGAATAGTATGTAAACAATCCAAAGATAACGTTTCCTTCATTGTGGTGATGATAGCCATAAATGGTTGATATTCCCTGGGCAGGCCTTTCAAAATGCTTGCAACATGGCTAACGTGTGAAACAGCGCTGCCACACGATGCAAGTGCATCACACACTTCCTTCACTCGAGTTAGATATACCCACATATTGTCATTGCCTTTCTTGAGTGACTGTAGTTTGCAGTGCAAGCTCATGGCAGCAGTCGTGGACCTGCTAGAAAAGAGTTGTTGAACAACATTCCATACGTCAGCTGCAGATTCAGCACCCACAAAGTGAGGAAGCAGGGGGAGTTGATGGTTGATAGAAGCCAGGAGGCCAACGCACTATCCTGCGCTACATAATCTTCGAATGCATCATTGGTACGAGTTACCCCAATGTCATCAAGTATTGTCTCCGGTGGTGGCCTGAGCACTCCAGTTAGTAGACGTTCAAGTCGGTGACTCCTTACCGTGAGCAGAATTTGTTGCTTCCACAGTAGGAAATTCGTCTCATCAAGAACTACATTGATCTCTTGAGAGAAGCTGGTGCGTGTGAACGACTCCAGAAAGCTTCAAGCAAAGATGCGCAGACACAAGGTGTGAATTAAGAAGTGCAAGATCAATCGACGAAAGATACCATATTAAAGAACATAATACAAAGAACTGTATATGAATTTCTTATTCTTTCTCATTTACAAGTGTACTAGCTTTATAGCTAGTGTTGAGCTAATAACTGCTCTAACAATCTAACAAACTCTGGCACCAAATCTAACTAAAACTAACCGCATGCTATTAGTCATGCTATTATACGTGCATGTCTACAGCAAGCAGTTCTGCTAACATTCAGTAACATTTCTCTGAACATAAATCATTCCGAGCCATTTACGAACGGTTTTCTTTTCATCCTCTATCTTTATTTGGCTTCAGACTAACTTGAATAAAAATGCATGCTTTGATCAGACTGAGTTTCAATGGAGGCATATATTCAAAATTATTATCTAAAAGTTATGGAAGCAACGAAACAATTTTATCCTTAACAGCCAAATATGCTCGACGAAATCCATTTACCAGGCATCTCGAACATGGGCTATAACATCAAGGAAAACCCGTTTAAAGGCTCGAATACCAAGGTGTTCAAGAATAAGAGAAATTTCTGGAAACCACCCCTTGTTGGCATCTTCAGGCTCGATACGGATGGTGGTGTTAACACGAGAAAGATGGAGGCCACCGGCGGGGGCGTTCTTCGCGATAACATAGCGACTGGGTCATTGGCTTCTACATGAATATATGAAGTTATATTCATCAGAAGGATTCTAAGCCTGCTCAACCTTCAATGGAATGTTACCATCGAGCATATACCCCGGGAAGCCAATCATTTGGCAGATGCTGTGGCTACGCTTAGTCGTGGTAGAGGGATGGGACTGTGCCTTTTTAAGAACCCTCCAAATGAAGTTCAACGCACCCTCATGGCTGACAAAGCTGGATTGAGAAGAAGTCCTAGAAGTTGTTAACTCAGTAAACTTCCTTTTTGTAACAAAGAAAAAAAATATTCTACCTTGGGTCTTAAGCTCCTATGTATTAGTAGTTACGTCTATAAAGTATCTTAGCTTCGTCAATAGTTAAAAAACTTATAAACGGATATTATTTTATAATCACCACAAATTATTTAAAAAAATGAATAAATAAATATGTATCATTTAACGTACACTTATTAAGTGTTTAAAGACAATACTTATACATGTGTTTTATCATTGTGAAGAAAATGAGGAAGGGGTTTTCAGCTTTTCACCCCTTCTCTCCCGCCGTGATCTCACCAAAATTAATGGGAGATCAGCCTTTCAAAAACAATTGGTAAAATTTACCCTTGGTCACTTTTCTTTCAACCACAATTCAAAAATACCCTTTTCAATCTCATTTGCTCTCAACCCGATCTCAAAACAACCTAAGTCTTGACCCAAAGCTTCATGTTAGACTGGTAGGTTTATCCATAACTCACTCGGGTTAACCCGAAACTACTAACTAGATGATTAAGGCATTACACCTGTTGTGATTTGTTTGTCTATGTGATCAGATTTATTTGTATCTGTCTTTTGTTTCTAGTTTCTTGTATGAATTTTAACTTTTTCCTTGTATGGTCCTTAAATGATCCCAAACTAGTTTATTGTATCAATACTTATAGAAAAATATTCTAATTATATGTTTAATTTTCAAGCTTCATTGTAAGTTTAAATATATATTTTTTTTTAATAAAACTAGTGGTTCTATTTGCATAATAATTAATAATTTTTTTAATTTTTAGTGATTTTTAATATTGATTTTTATTTTTTAATAATATCTTAAAGTTTGAACTTTTTATTTAGAGATTAAATATGTCATCAAACTTTTTATAAAAATCAATTATACTCTCACATTTGTCTAAAAATTCAGATAAATTCTTTTATTATTTCATCATTTACATATGAATTATCATGTTAGTGAAATAGACCACTGTCTTATAGTTTTTAACTGACACGCCAATATTATAATAGATAACGATTTTTGTGGATAAAAATATAATATTAATACAATTTGAAGAGTTTAAACGTTTAATTGAAACAATTAAAAATAGAGAACGATATTATTAATTTTGAAGACTACGAAAATAAATTTATCCCTTAAACTAAATTTAAAAGATATTACTATAATTTTAATATATATATATATATATATATAATATAAATACATGAATTTCTAGCTCTATTCAACCCGAGTTATTGTTATCTTTGAAGACATTTAGGAGCAGATTTTATTGGAAAAAAGAAAAATGGATGTTTGAAGAATCATTTTATAAAATTTGATGTAAATGGAACTAATAAATGGGTTCAATGTTAAAAGAGAATATTGATCTCCTTAGCATTTCAGGGTTCGAGCAACTGCATCTGCAGTGTATGTATGTATTGTCAATAAATTAAAAAAATTCTAAATAAATACTTTACTCATAACCACTCAAATTATTCCAGAAGAAAATAATGTTGTCCAAGGCTCTGCCCTGAAGAAGTGAGATTTGACTTGGAATGACTGATATGCATCCATGGAATTAGAAACAGCAACTGCAGCATTTTTGCACCAACCATTCCAACCTGTTTTTCATAAAAATACATCTGTTTCAAACCAACTTTTATTAATATATCTGCACTTGATCTCGCTTCCATCTAATTTAATTTTAGGGTATTACATTTTTAGTTCTTTAACTATCACTTTTATTCTATCTGAGTCATTCAATTATTCTTTGTTTTAGAATCATACCTATTATTACATTTTAATCACCCACCTTTAAAAATTTAACAGTGATGTTAATGTGTCACTATAAGGTAATGTCATATTATGTTATCATTGAATTTTTTTAATATTAGGTTAAATTTTGAAAAAAATAATTGGGCGACCAAAATAAAATAAAAGTGATAGTTAGTGTACTAAATGTGTAATTTACCCTTAATTTTATCCGACTCTCCTAAATGATAATCAAAACAGAATAATTTTTTATTACCAGCCAGTCAGAAGCTAAACTGAAGCTACCCTTATTCAGCTTTGCATTTGCAGCCTATTGACTGGCTGTTGGGTGTTGAATTTCCATAGTCTTGAGCAAAGGACTCCCAAATTCTAAGATCCAGTACCAATGTTAAGTTATTCGATTTCGATTTAAGTTTAAATATTATATATGTATGTGTCTAACATATTTAATAACAAGATAATAAATATAAGTTTAAAAAATTAAAATCGTAAAATATCATCTACATAAATCAAATGAACTAAATTCTAAATTCAAGTGTCGTATAAATATTGTAATATTTATAAGGTCATGATTTGAAGATAAAGAGATGACATCGATACAAATATTCGAATCAAATCTTAAAATTGTTAAATATCATTTCTTAAAAGTGATTGTATAAATGAACTAAACTAAGCTCTATGCTCATGTAATTGTATTCTCCATGCATATATTGCAGTAAAAAGTTGAAGGAGAAGAAGTGAACTTACAGATCCCAAAGGCATGATGGACTTTTATGGTGATATTCATCGAGGTCTTTACGGTCCAGTGAAAAAGCTGAAGTAATTCGAGCTTGGATCAAGGTCGGGTGATGGTGCAAAAGTGAGAGGCTTTCAGCGGAACCATGGCTGGAAAGTGGTGGCGAGAACGGCGGTGACGGAGTCGGAGAGGGTGAAAACAGGTACTTTTGGTCGAAGGCTCCTATACTAATGGGGAGTGGCGTCGGTGGCGTCGGTGGAGACGATGACGCGGATACGTTTCCATTCTTCACTTCATGCATGATAGATCACTAAACTCTTCTGCGTCTTCTCTATTGAAGATAGTGGTGGTTCAGGAAAGGGAGGGCAATACACTTTTGTAAGGTTGCAATATGCCATCAGATTTGCTGAATGTTATTTTTTAAGGATAAACATTTTATCATCTAAATTATTATTTTTTATTCCATTTTGGTACCTTAATTTTATATTTTTAAAATCATACTTAATGTTTAGTTTATGTTTCAATTTGATATTCAATATAAAAAAATTATGTATTAGAAAATGAGAAAATTGCCTATTGGTGGAGTTGTAAATTGAATTGTTGGTAGGACTAAGTGTAAATACCTAACGGTCATGGGTTCATAGCTCAACATTCGGAAGGGGAATGAGGAACTCCAGTATACTGTCGACCTGCCAGCCCTAGTTGTATGGAGTTTTTTATTAGGCTAAACTACATCAGTATCATTCAACTTTATTTGTTGCTTTTCAGCTTCAGCCATGTATCCCATTTATGTTGTATGCATTATTTTAGAGTTAATTGCATCACATATTCTCAAAGTATGTATGCCATTTTAAATTGGCATGTAAACTTTTAAATGTTTCAATTTCATCTTTAAACTATAGTTAATGTTCTAAATTAGTCCTCAAACTATGAATATATCAATTTCATCCTTAAACTATAAACTTCATTCTAAATTTGTAACACCCCGAAAATCAAGTTAGTAGTTTCGGGTAAACTGGTTGGGCTTAGAGTGTCATGGTAGGCCCTTATAAATCAATTGGGTTAAGCTTGACATAGATTTGGGCTTGGGGTATGCCCAAAAGATAACAAAAATGACATTTTTGATTAGGAATCAATCAAGGAGAGACCAAAGGAGTAATTGGCCCATTGTCTGAAAATAAGGCTGATTTTCTTTAAATGGGGTGAGGTCACACGTTGGAAGAGGAGAACCCCCTATTATCTTTTTCCCCTCCATCTTTCTCTCTTCCCTTCATCGTTACAAACAACCAAAGGTGATAGCTTTATTACTTCAGAACCCTAGTTTGAAATTGTAAAGGTGAGAATGTCGATCTCCTTACTTAGAGCTTCACTTTGAGCCCTTGATCCTTAGGTTTGGCCATAGTGAGGTTTGGTTAGGGTTTTGAGTTCTAGAGTTTTGGATATAATTTGTTTATAAGGGTTAAAAATTATGTTTCTACTCATTTAAAGTTTGTAAGGAGGTTAGTAATCTATTTCATTTCCTTTGGTTAATAAGAGAAATTAGGGAAAGCTCAAAAGGCAAGAACAAGGAGAAGTTAGTGTTTGGGTTATCTTGTGGACATTTTCCCAGCAACTTTTAATAAACACACTCCTAAGTCACCTATACCACTTTTAGATCATTAAGTGTGATTTGCATGTATGTATGTATGTATGCATGAGTGCATTTTGGGTTGTTGAATCGGGAAATGTGATGTTTTGATGTTTATTATGCTCTAAATTTACATTTTATGATCCCCTTAACCTTTCATAAAACTTAAATAATATTTAAGGGTCTTAGAGGGATTTATGAGGGAAGTTGGGTTATATTTTCGTGTTCAAAATAGAGCATTTATGGGTTTGGATATCATTACTAGATGAACAAGACCGATATTGTTCTTCAAATAGCCTAAAACAAAGGATTTTTGGCTAGTAGTATCGATACCTTTTTGGGTATCGCTACTATACTTTGGGTACCAATACTCAAAGGTAAAGTATCGGTACAAACTTCAGATTCCAAATTCCAGTAGCTAATTTTGGTATCGATACTCATGGGAGTATCAATACCATATGCAGGGTATCTATACCCGAAGTAAGGGTATCGATACTAAGTAATTTTCTTGAAACATCAAACCTAAATTTGGTATCGATACTTAAGATGATATTGATACCTTAGTATTGAAGTACCGATACTCGAAGCAAGGGTATCAGTACTGGCAATTTTCCTCAGATTCCAGTAGCCCATTTTGGTATTGGCACTAAGGGTGGGTACTGATAGTAAAGGTAAGTATCGATACTAAAGGGGTTAGTATTGGTACCCTCATACTGAATTGAGCAAGAAGCCTAATTTTTGGTTAAGGGGATTGAGAAGGGATTCAAACCACCTTAGTTACTCCAATAAGTTTGAAAGTAAAAATCCCAAATGTTGTATGAGAAGTAAACAAATGTTATAAAGGAATAATGCATAAGACTTAAACTTTTGTTTGATTCTTGGGAAACAATAATAACACCTGAGTTACTTGATTGTATGATGTTTATCTATTATATACGTATGAGATATCATGATATTCTCTTATCAGTGCGAAGGCACTTTAGTATCAGTATGAATACACTTCTATATCAGTGCTGAGGCACTTTAGTACCAGTGCTATGGAAATTTCATTAATCGATGGAAAATCCACGATATGAAGATTGTATTATATATGTATGTACTTGCATTCGATATTTTTTTTATATTTTACACTTGATGCATTTTGTTACCCCATGACTATTCTTGTTGGCATACGCATGTAATGGATGCATGTGGTATAATAGAGTTATCTGTGTGGCACTAAGCTTGTAGCTTAGCATTTGAAATGTGTTTCTGTTCGCAGGTTCTTAGGTACCATTTAGAGGAGCTTATCGTCGGAGTCAGATTCCATATTTAGTCAAACTGCAAAGTACATCTTGATTATTTTAGATGATAATATAATTCATAGACCTTGTGTGTAGTCAGGTCGTAACTCTTCTATTAAACTTGGATGTTATTTTTGAGAAACTGTTTTGGGAGCTCCTCAGTTTTAAACTTAATTGTTTATGTTTTTTATTTATTTATGGATGATTGATTTTGTTCTAAGAAATAGTTTCATAAAAATAGTTAGCCACTTCGGTGGTTTTGTGTAATATCCAAATCTTCTAGATTTCATGTTGAATTGGATTTGGGTGTTAAATTTAGTGGTATTAAAGCATCAGGTTTAGTCGTTCCTAGGACCCTCGAGTTAAAGTCAATAAATGTCATTAAAATGCATGCCTCTAGAGTTTTGAGAGTACTTAAACATTTGGAATAGCGATATTGACTTCGTTTTTTTCTTTTAATTTTGTAGGATATAAGTGACGATCTTGCTCGTAGTTTGGAGGGGCGAGACGAGAGTCATGTCTCACTCGTTGGAGACATTAACGATGAGTTTTTCGCATACTCTAATCCCAAAGGACGTGGGGATAGATGATGCCACCTTCTTTAAGGACCTTAAAACTACCTTAGACATATCGTTACAATCAACCTGAGAGCACCTGCCACACCCGACCACCCGTTCTATCACCTATAGTGCCTCAAGAATTTCCAATAGAGAGACTTTACCGCTACAGGACTACTAATTTCTTGGGTTCAGAGGATGATAAACCTATTACCACGGACCAGTGGCTTCGCAAGACCCTCCTAAGTCTCAAATAGTTGTACTTTACCCTTGAAGGTAAGTTGAAGTGTGTCACCGCATTATTGAAGGGCAACACCCTCCTAAGTTGGTTGCGACCAATAACCTTTGCTATAGGAGGTTTAAGGAAGGGATTTACAATGACATCTTCACCGACCTGGCAGTTGATCCCTCTAAAATCTTTGCAAAGATAATTCATTAGGCCAATATGATCAAGAGGGTATATTCGATGATAACATGTCTGTTGGGTGGTTCAGGAGGTCAGAGCCGGAGAACATCGTATTCAGTTAGACCATCTCAGTCTTTGGCCAAGAGGGCTAGGGATTTCTAAGGAGTGAGGTGGTCCTACCCATCATAGTCTCGGAGGGCAGGGCATAGTTCAGGGTGTTGACAGGGGTCAAAGCCTTGTAAGAGTCCTCTGACTTCAGCATATGTAGTGACCACTAGAGGAACAAGATGTAGTTCACAATATTCCATGTGTGGTCATTGTGGCAAGTGGCATACTAGAGAGTACTACCGACTTTCCAAGGTTTGTTTTGGTTGCGGTTCACTAAAGCATTTTGTTCAAGACTATCCCGAGGTGTGGGACGGGAAACTGCCTGTTGCTCAGATATTAGTTCAGTCGGTTCAAAGGGGTTGAGGATTCATTAGAATGGGTTGTAGATCAGTTTCAGGACAACAGAGTTGGGGCACTATCGAATTAATAGCTAAAACATAGTCTAGGGTTGCCTCAAGTCAGTATGAAGAGAGATCCCAAGAGCACTGTGAGCCAGTATATGTTATTTTATGAATCTTTACCATTTTCAGTACACTTATTACTTCTTGGATAGATATGGGTCTACGTATTCATATATTTGTCTAGAGTTTACCTCAGAATGATATATTTTTGATTGAATATCTTAAGGTTAAGGTTAGGGTTTAATTCCCCTAGGGTTATATTTTATAGTGGATAAGGTTTACTGTAGATGTCCAGTTGAAGTTCAAAGTCAAATCATTCCTGCTAACCTTATGAAATTACCCTTATGAGAGTTTGACCTAATCCTTAGAATGGATTGATTGTCTGAGCATGACATGAGTTTAAGATATATGGTTAGGAAACTTAAGTGTAGCATGGAAGACAACACCAAGGTTGTAATGACTGGCGAAAGACTTATATGTGTTTCCAAGATGGTATCTGCATTAATTTCTAGAGGTTCATTAATCAGGGTTGTAAGGCGTTCCTAGCTCACGTATTAGGTACCATAGTTTTGAGTCTGATGATTGAACATATCTATATTGTGAGGTACTTTTTCTGAGATATTTTCGAAAGAATTGGCAGGGTTACATTCGTCGTGAGTTAGAGTTCAACATTGAAGTATTGTCAGGACCGACTTCAGTGTCCGTCACTCCCTACCATGTGGAACTGACAGAGTTAAGAGAGCTTAAGGCCTAAATTCAAGAAATGTTGGATCAAAGGTTCTTTCGGCCTAGTATATAACTGTGTGAAGTACCAGTGTTATTTGTGAAAAAAAGATGGGTTGATTAGATTGTGTATCAACTATCGACAATTGAATAAGTTGATGATTAAGAATTGATATCCACTTCCAAGATCGAAGATTTGTTTGACCAACTTCACTATAACAAATTTATCAATTTTGTGACAAAATTTTTATATGACGTTGCGTATAAC